ATTTCTCGCATCTAATATATTAATTTAAAGCCCCTCCTTAATCATCCATTATACTATATATCTAATTAATAGCTAATTAATAATTAATTAATAATGAATAAATTCAATATGATTAAAAGGGAATAATAGCTAATTAATACCTAATTATTCCCCTTCATCCTCATTTTTTTATTACACAAGAAGATTAGAAAAAAAATGATTAAAAGGGAATTATGCTTCTCAATAATATATTCAAGCCTAACATTAGCCTACATACCTATTATTCCCCTTTATCCTCATTTTTTTTTTATTAGACAAGAAGATTATAAAAAAGATGATTAAAAGGAAAAATGATACAATCGTTTTTCCTACTCAACTTTCATTCATTTTAAGTGTTGAATGATATTTTATTTTAAGTAAATAATTAACAATCATTCCATTACATATACAATTTGATAAGAACCATCATTCTTATCTTTGGACTTTTATATAACCATCATATAGAAAATACCAACAAAACCATATTTGATTTAAGGATTGAATGATATTTTAGTTTAAGTAAATAATTAACAATCATTCCATTACATATACAATTTGATGGCTAAAGCTATTCAAATTTATAATTAACCTATCAAAGACTTAAAATCCAAGAGCTCATTGGATACTCTGAGTCGTAAGATCATTAGAGGTAGCGATAGCATATCATACCATATTTGATAAGAACCATCATTCTTATCATTGGACTTTTATATAACCATCATTCTAATTGTTTTACTGATTTCCAAATGCCAAAAGAGTAAGAGCTAAAAACAGGACATGATTATCGAATGAAATAAGACTAGATAAGAAAGAAACTATATTTATGTATTAAATATAGAAAAGACCAACAAAACCATATTTGATTTCAGGGATGAATTGCATGGAGAGAAAAAAAATAAAATGAAATAAAATAAAAAGACGCCCGACGCGCCAGCGCGGGCTACCCGTCTCGTTTAATTTTAATCTTATATAAGCAATGCATACCATTATATTATTTTTTCTAATAATCCAATAGTCATCATGAAACATGAGTCATGGCCCTACTAAATGGAATTGAACCAATTGTTTTAGTTGACGAAATTTTATTGGTTCAAATATTTGGGTACACATTTTTATTTAGTTATATTCTCTTAATTAAGCCAATTATCATGCATGAAGCAAAAGTGACCCTACTTAAGTACTTATATTTAGTATTTATATTTATATATATAAAATAATTGTGTCTGATTAGTGATTAGGCTTCTTGGATTGGTGTTGGATACTGATTTGATTTTTCCTAGTTAAAAAGAAAAAAGGGAGAGTTCAGCCTTCAAAGTTGCACATGAAGTAAGTGGCTTTTGGAGACAAAAGAAAGTGATCGAGACATTATTTAATTTATTTTTTTATAATACAACTATATATATATTTTGAATGCAAGGTGTGTGATTAAAATAATAAGTTTTTCCATTTAAAGAAAGGATAGAATAGATCCCAGCAGCATATGGTTTCGTTCTTAATTTATAATTTTAGCTTTTTATTTAGAAAAAGAGAAAGCAAAAGCGAGTTGCTAGCTAGCTACATAAGAAAAAACGAAATAGAATAAGAGTAAGTTATACAATAAGTGGGAATTTAATTTCACCGGCTCACTAAAGCAAAATATAGCAAACCACAAAAATAAAATAACCTTTTTTTTTGGTATCGTTTGATCGGTTGCATGTAAAACACTTATGTAGTCATGCCTCATATCATCATATCATTCATGGTTTTAACGAGGCCTCGTAAATTAACAAATGGCATATTTGCTGAATGCTGATGCAATACATCGATCGTTAATTAGAATTCGTCGAATATATATATATATATATATATATATATATATATCATATTCCCGTTATATAGCTGTATGTATATATGTATATATATCATATTTTATTTTTATTTTTTTTTTGGTAAAACCCCGAAAGAAAGAAAATTACAACTTAAAGCCTCTAGGATAGGCTACTCCAAGACTATCCGCCTATAACACTCCTTTCATCTCGACAGGTGGCTGACGAAAAACAACATAATCCTCATCCAACGAGCATCTCATTTTTGATAAAACATCAGCACAAAAATTCCCTTCTCGCAATGTATGGAGACACTTACATTCCCATTCCCTCTTCAACAACTCCCTGATGTCAAGTATAAGAGAACTGAAAGGTTGGAACTTTAAATCAGCATCATCAATCAAACTCAACACAACGCTAGCATCAATTTCGCATTCCACGTGTCTATATCCTTCATCCCAAGCAAGGATGAGACCTAAGCGTAAGGCATGAAGCTCCGCAGCAATATTAGTCGTGATTCCCAAATGAGCAGAGAAACCAACAAGCCACTTGTCTGTAAAGTCACGCAGCAAACCCCCTGCACCAGACAAACCCGGATTACCACAAGAAGCTTCATCCGTATTTAATTTCACCGAGGGAGAAGTAGGAGGAAACCAATGTATGTGCTTAGTACACAAACACAAACTACTATCTGGAGCCTGTAGAGCACATATCTGAGTAGTAGATATCATGATATTCTGCACCACATCCGATTGATCTAGAGCAAGACCTTCCTCTTGAAATGTATGGTTGCAGCGCCGGGTCCAAAGCCGCCAGTAAGTAGTTGCAAAAAGGATAACATGCTTCCAATCATGAAATATGGATCTAAATTCTGTTTTAGCCAATCCTCCAAAGCAAACGAGGAGAAAGCAACCCATATAAGTCCAGGCAGAACCTATTCCCACACCCTTTTTGCTTCGATACAATCTCTCAAAACATGGAGAATATCCTCCAAATTAGCACCACAAATAACGCACGAAGCATCTGTAGTAAGACCCCAACGAAGCCTCAACTCATTCGTAACCAAACGACCCCGCCGGGCTAGCCAAAGAAAATAAGTCCATCGAACCGGGATAGGTAATTTCCACATCCAGCTCATACTACCCTCAAGGCAGGTACCAGCTTCATTCAATAGATTCAAGTAGGCAGATCTTGTGGTAAACTTCCCATTCGGAGTACTAGCCCACACATACGCATCATGTAAAACACCAACCCGAGGCAAAGGATAGGCAATGATCTTCATAGCGACATCCAAGGGCACTTGTGCAAAAATAAAATCCATATTCCAATGACCCGTAGCATCAATAAAATCACTCACTCGTGCTGCAGAATTAGCATGTGAAGGAATCACATCAAGCTCCGTAAGAATAGGTTTATCCAGCCATAAATCTGTCCAAAAACCAACATGAGAACCCGTCCCAATGCGCCATTTCAATCCCCTAGATAGTTCACCAATTGCACCAAAGAGACCCCTCCAAGAGTATGACCAGGAAGGTTTACACACATGGGAATTAACAAAGCCAACAACATCACTTGGGATAGCATATTTAGCTCTCAGCAATTTCACCCACAAGCTATTAGGCTCCATTAAAAATCTCCATGTTGTCTTTTGTAATAAAACTCTATTGTGAAGTGCCATACTTCGAAGGCCCAAGCCTCCCATTATTTTTGGCCGACACACATCCTCCCAACAGACTAAGTGGAGTGCCCTCTTCTCTTCACTACCACCCCATAAGAAGCGACGATTCATACTATCCAACTTAACAATAGTGCCTTGAGGTATCCTGACAGTAAGCATGTTATACGTAGGAATAGAACTAGTCACCAAGCTAATTAAAGTAGCTCGCCCAGCCAAGCTTAAAAATTTATACTTCCACCCATTTAATCGTGTACAAACCTTATCCACCATCTCACGGAAGGTATCCTTAACAACTCTACCATGAATCAAAGGCACTCCAAGATATTTCCCGAGATCATTTGAAGAATTGATCCCAAGAATCTCACTAGTTTTCTGCGCATTACGCCTAGATACATGAGGGGAAATATACAACTTTGATTTATAAAGCCTAACTCTAGCCCCCGAAGCAGCACAAAAAGTGTCCAAAACTCGACGAATGCATGTAGCTTGGGACTACAAAGCACAGCCAAAGAGAAACAGATCATTTGCAAGAAAAAAAAAATGAGATATGGGAGGACCACCCCTCCCCATAACAGTTGGCTTCCACCTGCCCTTTTGAACCTCGTCCAAGATGAGATGCCCGAGATGCTCCATACAAAGAACAAAAGGATAAGGAGAGAGGGGATCTCCTTGCCAGAGCCCCCTACCAGGATGAAACATTTCAGTTTTCTCTCCATTCCATAGAACTGACATCGAAGCACTCTCCACACAAAAGATAATCAAATTTATCCAACTTGGAGGAAAATTAAAAGCCATAATTGTGTCACGCAAAAAATCCCAACTAACACGATCATAAGCCTTCTCCAAATCAATCTTTACAGCCATCAAACCATTCTTACTTCTGGACTTCTTAACAGTATGAATCATCTCTTGAGCAATAAAAATATTATCAGCTGCTTGCCTACCAGGAATGAAGCTCGATTGCAAATGACCAATCAAATCACCCAATAAGGGCCCCAACCTATTCACCAGGACCTTTGTAATGAGCTTATAAGCTACTGTACACAAACTAATTGGGCGAAACTGCTTAACATATTCAGGATTGCTCATCTTCAGAATCAACACAATGAGTGTTTAGCTCAAAGTCATATTAAAGGAGCCATTCCGAAAAGCAGACTGGACGAAATCCACTAAGTCCTTCCCCACTGAATCCCAACATTTTTTTATAAAAACCAGCTTGAAAGCCATCAACACCCGGGGCTTTCCAAGGCTTCGTCTGAAATAGAGCTGTACGAACTTCACAAGGGGAAATCTCTCTAGCTAGTGCAATCCCATCCATGCTAGATATAACTGGCTGTGATAGCGGTTCCAACATCGTTTTCCCTTCCTCCTCTTCAGTATATAGATCTCGAAAATAGCTGAGAACAAGTTCCTGAAGAGGACCAATCTCAGTAACCCAATCGCCATTACCATCTCGTAGCATAGTTATTCTATTGCGCCTCCGCCGGCAGATAGTTGATAAGTGAAAGAACCTAGTGTTTTTCTCCCCCTGTTGTAACCACTGAACTCTTGACTTCTGGGCCCAAAAAGTTTCCTCCTGTACTAAGATCTGGTTATATTCACGAATCAATCCATTCTCAAGTAATTGAAGCTGGTGAGAATAATGCAAAGACAAAGAGCGCTGCAAGCCAGCAATTCGAGCCCTCAGTTTCTTTTTACGCTCAAAAATATTGCCAAACTCCTCCCGATTCCAATCCTGTAAAGACATCGTCAGTTTCTCACCCTTACCCCATAGGTTACCATTCAAGCTATTCCATAAACCATCAATCATTGCCGTAAACCCCTCATGAGATAACCACATTCCCTGAAACCGAAAAGGGCGTTGTGATCTATTCATCGCCAACACAGGTTCACAACGGATCAAAATAGGGCAATGATCTGAATGTAAACGAGGTAAGTGCTGTACTATGGCATCAGGAAAACGTAGCCGCCAATCCGAGTTCGCCAATGCCCTATCCAATCTTTCTTGAACACGAGCCAAGCCTTTCCGTTTGTTCACCCAAGTAAAGCTAGAACCATTAAACCCCAGATCAATTAAACCGTAAGTTAAAATCATACTAGAGAATGACAAACATCTACCAATATTAGGCACTGACCCCCCAAGCTTTTCGTTACTACTCAACACATCATTAAAATCCCCCATGACAAGCCATGGGACATCCACCGAGCCGGCAAACTCGATAAGAGAGTCCCAAAGTCGTCTGCGAATTTCCAAAATGGGGCTGGCATAAATCACAGATAGGAGAAATTTGGATTCCCCTGGCCTTTCAACAAAGGCATGGACCAATTGAGGAGAGGAAAACACCACTTCCAAACTTAAAATGGACTCCTCCCAACACAACCAAATCCCTCCTGCAAACCCTTCCGGATCCGCTATATGGAATTTTGGCATTTTGAGTCTTCGTAACACTCTCCGAGCTGTAGCACCAGACACTCTCAGCTCAACAACCGCCATAATAGATGGTTTATAAGTACTAATCATGTCAATAGCATGATGACGAAAAGTCTTATTTCCAGTACCACGACTGTTCCAAATGATAAAATTCATTAATAGATGTTTTGGGGTCGAAATTCCTCTCCCTAGGCTAAGAATTAGTCATAATAACATCTTCATCTTGGAAGAGTTGTTGTTCATCATGCTCCTCATGCATACTAGCATCTTGAAATTGAGTCTCAAGAACACCAGAGGCCGAATAATTCTTATCAGGCGGATTTCGAAAGCGAACATCTGAGCTTTTCTCCCCCGCCTCCAAACCAGCCGAAATGAAATTATCCTCCATCAAATCATCATCTTCAAGAAAATCACATGAACCCTCTGTTCTACCACCGGAATCCTCCATGTGACATTTAGCTTGAGAAACTCGAGCAGCAGACAGATTACCCGAACTGGCTATACGAACTCCAGTCTAATTACTACTAGAGACTTTAACCGGCTCAACATTCTGATTAACATTAAACTCCGGCCCAAACTTAGAAGTCCTCTTTACTTGTTCTTGGGCCTTCTTGGACCCAACCCCAGGCCCAATAGGGCCTCTCCTAGTATTATACACACCCCAGGCCTAGGCTTCAACAGCCCGCCCTCTTTCTTCATTTGAATAATCTTCACCATCAAGATTCAAGTTTTCCCCTCCCTCGGCAAGAGCCGAAACTCTAGAGCCATCCTTAACTCCACTCCCTGCCATAATGAGTGTCCGAGATTTTAGGTTCTGATTAGTTGACTTCCGTGGTTTCCGGGGTTGAACTATCATCCAAGGCCCAAAATCTCCTGTGGGCACATTCACCGTACAACCATGTTGATCACCACCTTGAACGGCTGCAGCTTGCTAAACACCGCTATTACCAGCGGCACCAGAATGATCATCACCCTTCCCTGCCGGAATTATCTCAGTAACAGCTGGTTTTGGACAGAGAGCACACTGCTCAGTAGTTCCTGCCCTACCACATTGGAAGCAAATATGTTTAAGCCCTTCATATTCCACTGATAGCCATCGATCCTCAAAGAAAACCTTCGGCACCAAAGGTTTACTAAACTCCACCTCAACACAAACTCTAGCAAACCTCCCTCTCAAGGCACATTGAGTTTACATATCCACCTTAACAGCTTTCTCCAAAGTATTGCCTATAGCCATAAGGAGTCTCGAGTGGAAATACTCAATGGGTAAACCAGGAAAATGAACCCAGACCACGGTGGATTCAATAGTTGTCGTGTCCGGATTAAAATCCGGTTGCCACCTACGTATTGTAAGATAGTGCCCAAAGACAGTCCAGGGGCCTCCATCCATAACCCTCCTCAAATCATCAAGGGATGAAAACTTTGCGACACAAAAACCAACACCTACATCAACGAGATCTCAATCCCCTTTCGGGTTCCACAGCTTATGCAAACGATCACTCAGGACATTGTAGGAGATGTTTCTACCTAAGAGTTTCACAATAATACAATCCTTCCATTGATTGCGAATATGTGCCTTGAAATTCTCAGAAAGAGAAATCGAAGGCCAGCCATCCTTTTGCGTAATACTGATCAGTCCCTCATCCAATTCCAAGGAGCCCAACTCATCAAATCTAGTGATCATATTCCTCCGCCCTCCTAACATCGCTTCCTTAAAAGAAAGCGCAGCCGGGACATGACCATCACTCGGCCCCTCCGGCGCCTTAACCTTTTTAGTACTTCGTTGCAATTGATCATCCTCTTCACCCGAGCGTCCACGAGTCTCCATCTCAGTTTTGCCGTCCATGGATTTCGCTTTTGGTTTTCTTATATTTTATTAATTATTATATGTTATTAACATTAATAATTAATTATCATTAGCTACAGACGTACGCACCTTCGTTAGTTAGTTATATTAGTCGTAACTCGTAAGCATATACTGTCATTGATCACACATAATCTCATTTCATTATTTTTGCTTTAAAAAACTGAATAGCCAATTTTCGTAGCTATATTATTCCATAATTTTCTTCTTTCCCCTAAGGCAAGTGGCTATTAACTTTATACATACATACATACATACATAGATATATATATATATATATATACACATAGATATATATATATATACACACACATAGATATAAGTACTTGGTTAATAAGTGTAATTATAAGTCCTAGCACTGTATTATTATATATTTTGCGGTGAGATGATGAGAGTAAATGATGATTTGTATATAAAAGTAGTATACTGAATCAAGTGTGTTTGGGGTAAAAAAATAATTACATACAAGTTGATTGGCTCGCACTGGCACGTCGAGCATTCTTGATTTGTGGCTAGCAAATTATTTTAGTTATAAAGTCCCCCCTCTCCCCGGTTCTTATGATATATGTGAGTAGGTCATTAGTAAATTCGATATTTGGAGCAGATCTTATAATTGAAGAACTAATTTAGCAAAGTAAAATAGTAGTGCCTTAAAACATGTTGTAGAAAATGAAAGTTTTTTTAGTTAGTGTCATACTGTTTCCCCTTTTTTAGAGTTGTTAGCGCTTAATTTATCGAATAAAGATAGAAGTATAAATTGCAATATAAGAAAAAACCATCATTTCATGAATTTATAAGACTATAATCATTATTCATTTTTTTAAAAAAATAAGGCTATAATCATTCTATTTGAACATGAAATGTATAATAATACATTTTCTATAAAAAAAAATTCAATATTACATTCATAGGATAAATTTGCTTTTAAAACTACAATTAATTGTGTTCACATTTATCTTTGGCAAAAGACTAAAAAGTAGAGTTATTCATTTCAACATTAACCAAAGTTTAGGGCCTTAAAGTAATTTGATCAATGGAAAAAGACTAAAATGTTTAATAATCTAGCCCCTCACCCAAACATAGGATCAAATAGTAAATTCATTCAAGTAATAATGTTAAGATGAATAGTACTTTTTGGTAATTAACAAAGTGAGAAAAGATAGAAGAGGACAAAAAAAAGTTCAAACGGAACCTCCTTATCGATCCTCAAAAGGGGTTTTTAGTAATTTCATTGGGTGTTCCAAATAATATGTAGTATATATATATATATATATCTATACTAATTATGATGCCAAAACCTGAGTTTGTCTCACGAGTTGACTCGGAGACAAATTCAGTTCTTTAAAAATTCAAAATAAAATAAAAACTACCCATTTTAGATAAAAACTACCCATTATACCAATTTTAGAAAAAAAATACCCATTATAAGATAAATATAATATTTAAATTTATTTATATCATTTTAAAGAAACTACTTATTGAAAAAAAAAACTATTATAAACCACTCACGTAGTGAGTGCCCTGTGTCTTGTATATATATATATGGAATAATAGTTTATACATAAAAATAATAGGTAATAATTTATGCGAATGATGATCTGAGATCATCTCCATGTATAATTAATTTCCAATACAATTTAACACTATATATATAGTTCCCTAAAAAATATATATAAATATATAGTGAAATGTGAACGAGACAAAGTCACAAAGAGGGCAATATATATAGATCGGGCATTATATATTTTACTATCCATAATTAAATTGTACATAAACTCAGGGGTGAACCAGAAAATTTTCTCTGGGGGGCCGACCGATGTATATACATACATGTATTTCAATCGGTCAACATCTAATTATATATATTCATATATGAATTTATGTAAAGCTAAAGATAATTATATAATATAAACAAATAAATTTGATATCATGAGTTAAATCATCACCAACTTAATGAAAAGTAATATATAAATAAAGTAATAAGAAAAAGGGTAATTATTTGATACACCGACGGTGTAAATTTTGGAGTCCACAAGTGGGTTGTGGAGTTGACATATGTCCATTTTTTGAATTAATTAAGTTTTAACTATTTCAATCTAGTCCCTAAAGGACACATGTCACCCTTCAGGACCCGTTTGTGTAGTCTGTTAAACTCCACTAACGGTGTATTTTATAATTTACCTAAGAAAAGGAAAAATACACTAAGTAAATAATTAATCCTTGGATATATTGAAAGAAATTAAAGAAAAATTGATTCATTTATATATAAAATGGAGCAAAACTTATAGTAAGTTTTATCAAGTGGCCAAATTAATAAAAATTATGGGGGGGCAAATTCCCAAAAAAGGGGGGCTAAATTAGAAGATAAAAATTATGGGGGGCCAAAATGAGATTTCACCATTTTTTTTTGGTTGAAAAATGTAACTCAAATGTATTTTCATTGGGCGGAGGGGGGGCCATGGCCCCTGCTGCCCCCTCCTCCGTTCCGCCACTGCATAAACTATAGAAGACTAATATTCCTTCAAAAAACTATAGAAGACTAATAAGTAATAAGGTATCAGAAACAAAGAATCATGGCAGTGGGGCCAAATTCGATCATGAAAAATGGAATTTATGGATGCTTGATGAGGATTACATTACTCTAAGAATGGCCATGGTGTCCCCCAGTGTGAGTAGGAATACCATACAAGTTTTTTTTTTTCTTTATTTATTTATTCATAGTTGACTGAATGATTTATCGCATAAAATATAAAATTTCCCTCTTCAATTCTAGTAATTAAGTATTCGTTATCTTACCTCAAAAAAAAGTATTCGTTATCTTCAAAAAAATTTAGATGCCATATATGTTGTATATATGGAATTGTACATGAATCAAAATAATTTTATTTCAATTTATTCAATTAAATATTAGAAAATAATTATTAATATTCCATACTTTATTTCACTAAACATGTAACATGTTAGAATTAAAAAATAGTAATTAAAAAAGTTTTTATTAGAATTATTAGAATGGTGAAAAGCTAACCATGGAAATTTACAAATATAGTGCATTAACTTGCTTTAAAATTCTTCTTCAAAAAACTTGCTTTAAAATTTGCAATATAATAATGCATTTTATACATGTAGTTTTTTTTATAGAAATTTAATACATGTATTTTTTTAGGGAAAAACATCAATTTTTTTGTGAAAAAAAAATCAATTTTTTTTGTGAAAAAAAAAATCAATTTTCATTCATTATGGCAAAGCATTACAATCTTTTTTTAGAGCATCCATAACCGAAATTGGTACTTCTTCCATCCAAAACACATTTTCGAGAAGGGAGAAACCAAGCTTGGCAAAGGAGATAGCCATGCATTACCATCATTTAACATGTGAGAAAAAACAAGAATAAAACAAGAGCAAAGAATCAACAACAATATATATATATATATATATATATCATTATATTCAAACATCTAAATAACCTTTATATTTTTCTTAAAAATAAATACCCATTTCTCAAAAAGAAAACCCCTATATTTGTACAAAATGCTAATAGTTTACTTAAAAAAATTTTAATAAAGTAATAAAGTTATAAAAGAACTAAACTACAATGGTATTTTTGAAATATGTTGAATAAAGAAGATAGTTGAGGCTATTTTCATAACTATATACAACATTCACACTTTTATTTCTTTTGTTAATCCTATTTGGTATCCAGAGTTTTGCTCTGATTAATTCAGATTCAACCCGCGTCGCAATCCTGGTTTTGGTAGGTGAGTCTACCAACGGGGGCACCTGTGTACGCAAGGTCTCGAATTTAAGACCTGCTTAATTAAGCTGGAACAAACTGCTTATCACTTAATCCAACCTCGTACAATTTTATTTTTTATACATTGACTTTATATTTATTTAATTATTTATTTATATATCTTCAAAGTCATATATATATATATATATATCTATACTATATATAAAAGTACGAATAATGAGAAATTTTATGTTTTCCGATTGTACCCTTATTTTTTAAATATATTTCAAAAACACCATTAATTATTTTTAAGTTGGACTTAAATCTTAATATATGTTAAGAGTTTTTTTACCAAATTATAACACTTTGAAAACTTATTTCCCAATATATAATACATTTAAACTTTTTTCCTAAACTATAACAAATTTTGCCAACTAAGCCTACATGTCATATTTTTTCTTTTTCTAAATAAAATAAAAAACAAAAAAAGAAAAACAAAACCTAACGTCTGTTGTTAATTTCTGGTTCAATCTAGTCTTCTCTCCATAGGCAAATCCTGCATCACGAAATCAAAATTGGATAGGAAAGTGCCTGAGGGCCAGGGCTCCGCTGATTTGATCAGCAAGCTTCCTACCCACTCTTGTCCAAGAGATTTTGTCCAGATGAAGTTGTAAGAACAAGCAATCTTATCCAGCTGTTGAAAGGATTTATGGAGGTATGTTTCTCTTCCAGATTTTGATCCAAAAAGACTGATGGGTGATGACAAACATGTTAGTATTTCTCAAGAAATTGGATAATCACATCTCTTCAAAAATCAAGGATAAACCCCCAATTGGTTTGTTTTGTTTGGAACCACAAATCTTACTGCAACAAAATATCAGTTGAAGGTTGGAATTCGGCCAAGGAAGAAAAAAAAAAAAAGAAGGCTGGGGAAGAAGAATACTCAGAATTCATAAATATCAATTATTCTCAAATCTTCGACGACTCTTTCAATTAATTGAATATAGAGAAACTCTTTCAATTAATTGAATATAGAGAATAAAACAATGAGAGGGATTCAAAGAATTGAAAAAAAAATTACTAAAAAAATAAAGACAATTTTAGCGATGGAGAAAGATAAGTAAGGAATTAATTTGATTTTTTGTTTATCCCCAAAATTAGTGAGGAAGAATGGAAAGTTTTCAACTTAACGTTTTTTTCTTCTTCTTACCGTCTGTAACCGTTATTTTTTTAATTAAAAAGAAAATAAAAA